TTTCCTACAGTGTTGCCAGTATTGTTCCAACTTCATATGAAATTTACCTCTTTTTAAACAGCAGCCCAGAGTTTTTGTAGGGACAGAAAATGAAGCATCACGTTTCTGCTATGGCAGTAGAACTCTCACCTGACCAGTATCCACAAGTGTATAATTTCCCATGCATGTAGAGGGAGAATAAATCCTAAAGGGAATGAGTGGTGAAGGGAAGTAGTTTGGCAACCTTGCTCCAAAGAGAATTGTCTGAATTTGGGATTAAGCTGACGTATCACAGATAGGCACCTGGTGCAGTATTTCATGTTATCGCCAGAATGTAGCTAAATATAGGCGCAGATCAGTATTGCCAAGATGAAAGCAAATAGGTTTGTGGAGGAGATAATCCAGGAACTGCTGCATCATTCTCAGCACAGACACTGAGAGCTGAATAGATCAAGATGGCTAATCGTGTCCAGCTAATTCCTTAGGTGTTTTCTGTTCAGGGTTGAAATTGCTGTCTGTGCTACTATTCTGTGGGAAAAAAAAAAAGGATAATCCACTTGGCACCTCCTGGTAGCGTGAATTCCTCACAGAAAGAATCCATTTGCCAGTTTTGAGCAACTCTGCCACAAAGAAGCTCATCTTCCATTTTTCGGAAAGGTGAGGCTACTGCATGTTGGTGAAGGAAGAGTCTAATGTGGAAGATCTTCCTTTGAGTACATGTTCATGCCATTAGCTGGGGGGAATGCTTAGATGCTGTAAAATGTCTGGCACTCACAATGACATCAGTGTCCAAGGCATTTTGTGTTTCTCTAAAAGCCAAAACCTAATATAATGAACTCGTTTACTTTGCTTTCTGCAATGAAAAAAGGCAATAAATGACTTATCCTCATGCTTTTCTAGGAGGAAACAATGTAGATTGCAACTCAGCACAAATCTGTAACTGTTGAAAAAGTCTCATTTATTACAGGAGAAATTGTTTTTTTAAGGGCAGTGCTGAATCTGGGCTATAATTACAACGACTTTTTAAAGAAAAAGAAAAACAGTGGATGTTTTTCTCGTTTGATGTATTACCTATCACTAATGACCCTCTTTCCTCATTTCCATTTAAAAAATGGATATAAGCAATTAGCTGTATATTGCACAAAAGTAGCATTACCTGAAAAAATAATTAAGATGATCTTGAAATTAAGGAAATCAGTTTTGAAGAGAAGCAGGTGCTTAATGGAGGTGAAACCAGCTGTGCTTCCCAGGAACATGCTTGAAGCGCTTCATGGAAAAATGTGCGAGGCCTCCACACAACACTGGAAGGAAATGTATAATAATTCGGATAAATTGCATCCTATAAATAGCAGAGCTGGGTTCATTAGGACAGGAGGCAGATGGAGAAAATATAAAACTTATTTGTTTCTTTTTAAGGGACTATAACGCTTATGAAAAGTGTCAGCTTGCTGTCAATAAGGGAAAAACCCTCCGGTGCCGCAGTAACTTTCTCGCTATTAGGTTCTCATCTCTGCTAATGAGCAGCCATCCATGAGGGACATTCATAATACTTTATTTTAGCAACTCCTGCCTTTTTTCTGGCGTAGCCAGGCTGGCACAGAAGTGCTGCAGTGCTGGAAGCGTGCAGCAGTTAGGAGAGGGAGAGACATGAGGGAGGACAGTTCATACGTGGTGTGTAGCACTTGCTAACTCTGTTTAAAGCAGATGCTAAGGGGGCAGAGGCATAAATGTAGTTGGGAAGTGGGGATGTGTGGAATGAGGTGGGAATCATCCACCAAACTGGCTAAGGGGTTATGTCCCAAAGCAGAAATGTGCTGGTAATTGGTAGAGGAAACACTGTAATGCTGTGCATTATTGAAGAGAGAAGGTGAAGACATTTCTGAGATGCTCTTACATTAGTAAGTAGGAGAAAGGAGAGGCTTTCATGCATGAAGAGAAGTCATGACAGAAAGCGGGTGGGAGGTGCGTGACTGGAATGCAGCTCTGTCCACAGGAGGTAAGCGGAGGTGAGAGGGCTGTTGCGTCTTAGCGTTCAAACGCAGTGAGGTGCTGCGCAGAAGGAAGAGTGTCCAGCCAGAAAGGAACGTACTGACTGACAGAAAGGTCACGTTGTAGACTGAACTTAAATGAGAGGGTGAATGTGTGAGGCTGTTTGCAAGTATGCCGAAATTATGACTAGGCACTTGAAAACAAAGCCGTGAGAGAAGACTGGCTGAACAATTGTCTACTACTCAACCACAGGCGAGTCTGAGCTCAGATACAGGAGTGGTGAATGCTCCATATGAATATTATCTGTTAATGAACCTGCCTTCATCTCTTTTGCTGATGATTTGCATTACAGCAAAGCTTCCTTAAAATAACACAATGTCACAATTCCAGTAAGCCATCCTAAGAGATTTTTTTAAGTAATGGTGTTCAGGAGAGGAATACTGCACACTTATCAGGCAGCGATGTATTTTCTTGAGAAGTTCTTAGATTGCCAATTCACCTTGTGAAGTGGCAAAGGAAAAAGGTGATATGAAGGTCATATTGGAGTCAGATAATCACAAACTTATTCAAGGAATGGAGAAAAGCTATACAACTGTTCATGCTTCATGTATTAAGTAACTACAATTTTTCTCAGCATTCAATATAGAGGGCAATGATCCCAACACAAGGAGAGGACACTGGAGAAGAGGAAAGTAAGTGGTATGGATTGGCAGGATGCCTTTAGGGATTGCCATCTGTTGCAGCTTGCATATATCTGTAGGGTGTCATGTAGCAAGCAAGTGTTGGCATTAAAACCAGTCACAGACATGGAGCAGGTTAACTGTCCACTCGTTTGAGAAGAATGCAAGTGTGCTGGGGTGCATGTGAGAAGCTGAGCAGGGAAGGTATGAGCCAGCACATGGGAGCTCATGGATCCTCATGTATAGATCATTTTTTTGTTTTGGGGCAAAGAAACCCTTGGCTGATGAAGTGTGTTTTCATGCGTTCAATGGGATAAATAAGCCCTGTATATCCAGAGGTTAACACAGCCTGTGTTTGCAAGTAGTGTTATACAAGGTTTAAATATTGAGTTCTGAGATCTTGACTCACATAGCCCCACAGCAATAACTAGTATGAAAAATGTTGAGAAACAATTAGATTTGAAATGTAAGGCTTTAATTTCAGAAAGCCTTCAGCACCAGAGGATTTAAAAAAGGGAAAAAATGATAGGATATCCACTGGACAGGATAGCATTGTCCAGTTTTCTTGCTTCTAGGTTTGATCTGAGATGTCTGAAATGCGATAATCTGTCATACCTGCTGAAAAAATATGTATATGAGATGGGTGATTTTAAAGAGAAAGCACCGAAGAGAGGAAGTGATTTGATTTTGTAGGTTTCCTGTCTTGCTAGTGGAAAACTTGCTTTGAATTATGGTACACTTGTAGGGTGACATCTTGTTATGTGAAAAGAATTCTTTTCATGTGTACAAATAATAATAAAAAAATATTCTGCTCAAACAACCTTCAAATTTCCTCTTTGCCCAAGCTCATTAACACCTTTATGCCTTTTGTCATGTCATATTTAACCAGAAATCTTTTCTTAGGTAATGCTTGCTGAACTTTACATATTGCAAACACCCCAAAAGCCACCAATCCAGGAATGTCTTCCAGCTACAGTGACTGCAGATGAGTCTATGTTGACCATAGGTTGCTTGTGCCTTCCTGCACTCACCAAAACATTTTAGGGTATTTAGTTTTTTGTTCACATACTCTGAAGAGCATCATGATATTTGAGATGATGTTTGTCTGGGAAGTCCTTTAACCGAATGCGTGCATATTCTTCCCTCATTGATGCCACGTGTCATGCCACATTTAGTGAAGAAAGATAAAAATTGCTTCAAAATATGCAACTTGGAATGATGGAGTTCTTGCCTAAGGCCTCCTTTTTAATGTGGGTAGATGGATCTTAGAATGGTTTCAGTTGGAAGGGACCTTAAAGATCATCGTCTAGTTCCAACCCCCCTGCCATGGGCAGGGACAGTTTCTACTAGACCAGGTTGCTTAAAGCCCCATCCAGCCTGGCCTTGAACACTTCCAGGGATGGGGCATCCACAGCTTCTCTGGGCAACCTGTTCCAGTGCCTCACCACCCTCAGTGAAGAATTTCTTCCTTAGATCTGACGTAAATCTACCCTCTTTCTGTTTAAAGCTCCTATCAGTTTACACATCCTTGTAAAATCCTAATCCTTTGAATGAGGAAGTCAAGCCATGGATGCTACTGTCAGTTACTCAGCATCACAAAAGGAAATCCATGGCAGAGCTGAGAATAGTTCTCATTCTTGTTGTGCTTAAACTGCAAAGCTGATACAGTGACTCTGGGGATATTTAGTTAACATCTGTGTCTGTCGCAGTCTCCCAGTGTGGTACGATGCTGTTTTATTTCTTTACTTAATATTTGAACTGGAGTCACCATGTCTCCCTGCCCTTGCCAGTTGGGGATTCTAGTCACTTTGACATCTTGCATCTTTCTTTTGTCACCTAGGTGTGAGAAGAGGGTGACTGATGTGATTTTGTAGCTTGCTCTCTTTGGCCCTGTTGTTTGTGTCTAAAGGTACTGAGATTGAGATAGATTTGAATGAACATGGGAGCACAAGATGAATTTGCAACCCAGTCTACAGAGGCAGAGTAAGAGTTGTTGCAGGCAAAAATTGTCTCTTGTCACCTTGTTACTGCATGCATAGTGTAGTAGTGGTGTAGTAACTCAGCCCGCTAGGTGGTATACAGCATAGCATAGATTGCAGAAAGAATTGTCAGCCTGAAGACAAGCAGAGAGGCCTTCAGCCGAGGTGAATGTCCTGTGCATGAGTTCCCCTGTGCACCATTTTCAACAACTGTGGATAAAATGTCCTGTACGTGGCAGAAGCCCTTCTTTCTGTGGTGTAGCTTTCTCTTGGCTGTTCTTATATGTGATTAAATAAAGGTATGTTATGCATTTATTCATACATTGCCTTCTCTGCTTCTCTTGCTTCTGTTCTCATCTTCCCCAACCTGCAGGCTTTGAATTACTGTATCAGCCAGATGTGGTCCGACTGTACCTCTCCATCCTCACTGAAAGTCAGAACTTCAACACTCTGGAAGCTGCAGCAGGGGCTTTGCAGAATCTCAGCGCTGGCAACTGGACGGTGAGTGCAGTCTTCTGTTGCGTGTTTCATTTCCTTTGTGTAAGGAAAGAGCAAGCTATGTCCCATTATAAGTGCGCTGTTACTTTGTGCATTTACATCTCCTTTAAAAAGGAAGGAGATGGAAACTCCACATAAATTATTTTCATCTTATTTGCCCACTTCAGATGTTTTGCATTTTCTGGACAGATGGTGTTTATGTACTGGAAGTGTCACTGAGCTCATGACAATTTAACCATGAGCAGGTTTTACTACTTAAACCACTTAACCATTGCTGCATCCATTCAGAAAAGCCTGTTGTTAGATGTAAAGTGTCCTGAATACTTAATTCATTGGATTGTCAGATTGCTCAGGAGGCTGTACTCCAAAGTGTCCTCTGAAGCATCTGTAGCATGAATCAGACAATTCTCTTAAAAGTATGCCTGGTCACTTCTAGAACGGCATGGCAAAGTGGGACTGAGCAGCAACCTGAGTATCATCAGGGTGGTGTTTCACTGCTGTCTTAAATACAGTTTATTTTAAAATCAATCATGAAACAGAATAAAAGCATGAAAATGGAGGTGGGGGAAGAGAACAGATGCTTTGGATGCTTTACTGTTCCCTCCAAATTACCTCTTTTTTCCTAATCCAGAGGGATATGTTTTGACACTGAGGTGCGTACAGAACAGATGCTGGCGGATGATGCTCCTTCCTTCTATTTTTGTCCTCTTTCCCCAGCAGCTTGCTAAGCTGTAGGATGAACATCTACATCATTTCTTCCTTGGTGCTTGAGGAACTTGAAGGATGGGTTATGTTACAGATGCATCAGCACACACAACCTAACTAGTCTTTGCAGGAAAAAAAAATGAATTACAGCACAGAAAGAAATGCCAGGGGCAGGGAAAGGGCAGGTATATGAACTCATAACACTGTGTTGTTTCTTTTCCCTTGTGCATGCTGATCAGTGGTCCACGTATATCCGTGCAACCGTGCGGAAGGAGAGAGGCTTACCAGTGCTTGTGGAGCTGCTCCAGTCCGATTCTGACAAGGTTGTGAGGGCTGTGTCAATTGCTCTGAGAAACCTTTCCATGGATCGTCGCAATAAAGATCTTATAGGTATCTTCTGAACTTTTCTAACCAGGGTGGAATCTTGGATACCTTTAAGAGACCTCACAATTTCTGTCTTTTGTGCTGAGGATTCATTTTCTGTGCAGTTTCCATCTGTGCTAAGATTACTCTGTAGCCACCAAGTGGAGGATTGTCGTCTCAGAATGTATTCCCAGCCCGTTCAGACAAGCCACGGTTTGAGGGGAAATCTCTTAACTCAGGAGTAAAAACAGATGTAGATTTGTGCAGGAGAGGGGAGTGTGCTTAGGTGTGCAGAGGAGCGGGTGGGTTAAAAACAGATGTAGATTTGTGCAGGAGAGGGGAGGTTTCTTGTCTCTTCCTTAGCTCTGGCTGATGTTGCGCTTGTGCTCCTAGTCATACGTGGTGGTTACAGAGATGTTGCTCCTTAGGCCTGCTATTGAGATTAGAGTGGGAGTCTTGCCCTTGGCATGCTGAGCTAACCTGGGGAAGCACAATGGGCTCTAAAGTTGTCCCTTTTTCTTGCTTCCTCCTTCCCTTCTCATCCTTTCGCGTGGTAGTCGTTTGGTGTCCAGCTTCTACAAGCAACTTTTCTTTGAGTTAGTTCTTCAGCAGTGCTCACTAGCTCCAATCCAAGGGGGTAAATAAGCATTCACCTGCCCATATGCAGGAATCTGAAAGATTCAACTGTGGGTTGAGTTTTCCTCTGGATACCTCTGTATTTAACTGATGTATTTGTTTAAACTATAACCTTGTCAGGCTGGGAAATATTAGTCACACATTTAAGGCCATCATCCAAGTTGATGCTAAGAAATAGCAAGGTGAGATTCTGCTTTAATACATCAGGTTCTTTAGTTCAGAGGTGTAGCTAGGCAAATGGTACAGACAGACACCTGGGAGTGATAAACTCCGGACTCCTTTTTTCTCCAGTACTATACTCTGAGAAGGCTAACTGCACCCGGGAGGAAATACTCTTACCTTTTCTGGGGGAAGGTTAATAAATGCATGGCTGCACGCCTTGCCTCAGAAGGCCTATTACGAGGCTAAGTTGAGTAAGCCATGTGCGTGTATTAGCATGAAGATGTGGCATTAGCAGCAGCTGCTGGATGCTTTTTTGCTTCAGTGCAAAGTATGATAGATGCTGGCTGTAAAATTCTCAATAAAGATAACTTTCTTCTTCCTCCCCAGTACCTTTTAGCATTTGTGATGGAGTTTGTCTTGGGTCTCAACTCTCAATCACCTTGAAATAACGAATGATAAGTAAACTGTTAAGTTAGAGTCTTGAGGTTCAAAACATGTGCATTCTAAAGTTTTTTGACCTGGCAGACACCCTTGAGTTTTACCATTCAAGATGGGAAGCTGAATTGATTATTAGGGCTGACTAGTGGTGTCTCTTCCCCTTATCTAGGTAGTTATGCCATGGGTGAGCTGGTAAGAAATTTGCCCAGCAGGCAACAGAGATCTGCAAAGAACCTGGAAGAGGATACAGTGGTCGCGGTGTTGAATACCATCCATGAAATCATTACTGACAGCTCAGAAAATGCAAGGTCTCTGATCCAGACGCAGGGCATTCAGAAGCTGGTAGCTATCAGCAAGTCAAGGTGAGTGACAGTTGAAAGCAAAATGCTTAAGAACTCACTGCAAACATGAAAACGTCACTATGAACAGCGGCTTTGCTTTGTGAAAGTATTCAAGCATCCTAACCTTTCAGAGCCTTTAATTTCAGATCAATTAATATATATTCAGTAAAAAGTCAGCGCTTTTAATAGATTTACTTGATTAAAAAAGAAAAAGTTAATTGAGTAGTCACTTCAGTCGTGTTAAGACATGCTCTCTTCTTGTCAGATACATCTTAACACCATGTATGGCATCATTTACAGTGAAACAGTGATCTGTATTTTTACTGTGGGAGGCCTTTGTCCTGTGGCAGCATTCCATTCCTGGAATGCCAGTGATGAAACGTGTTTCTTTTAAGTAAAATAGTTAATGATGTGCAGTAATCGTTCTGGCCGAAGGGCTGGTGCTGGTAATTTGAAGTGACAAATTTTCACTCTGCAGTTCTGTTGAAAACTGAATGATTCTGACTGCTCTAGAGAAAAGTTTATTTTATGCAGTTCAGCTGCTTAGATGTTACAGGTGTGTTTTCAGAAAACTTTTGGGAGAGTAGCTAAGACTTTGGCTGTATTGTTACGAAATATGATAGCCAACCAAGAATCTATCCCTCTATTATGTTACAGAGAGTGCTTGTGTACTGACTTAGTAAGGAATGGATAAAATATCATTTTCTTTTTTAAAATAGTTTCTTTTTCACTGACGCAAATTGCTTTGTAAGTATTCTAAACCATGAAGCAACATCATTGAATTGTGAGGAATACATGTAAATTGAGACGAAGGTTTGAAAAGTGTCTTAGAACTTGTTTTGTTGGGTTTTTTTCCTACATAAATCCAGGCAAGATGGAATCCATGCAGTTTTTGTTAATGACAGCTACAAGACAAAAGGGTCACCCTGGCCTCAGTGCTTGCCCAGCAATACACATGAAAACCCAGAAATCTACACAATTTGCAACTTCTGTTTGGATTTTGGGTTTTTTTGTCAGCAGATACCTATAGATATGAAGTCACTGAATGATTTCTCATATATCCTATAGCTTATAGGTTCAAAGGATAGCTGTATAGAGTACTAGGTTGTCTCCTGGACGTTGTTTTGGTACGAAGAGGTTAACACAAATAATCTTGTACTGCTTGATACTTAAGCTCTAATTTTATCTTGCAAATCAGCCAGTCTCCCAGAGAAACAAAAGCAGCATCTCACGTTCTTCAGATGATCTGGAGCTATAAAGAGCTACGAAACGCCCTGCAGAAGGATGGGTGGAACAAATCACACTTCCAGGTAAAGATGCTGGGTCTTAGATTTAGTAATAGAAATGTCTGAGTGGAAGATATCTGACCTTAGTCTAATGTTACAGTCTGATAGATTGTGGCCTTCAGTTCTGTTGTTCTAGGTGATAGAACAATGCATTGTGATCTGTTCAGTCACAGCATCATACATATACTTGCTGGGTATGTTTTTCAGTCATCTGCAAAATGTATCTTTTTAGATTTTGGAAGCATGCCACCACTTATCGGCCAAATGCTCGTGCTTTACTGGAGGAAGAATTAGCATGTTTTGTCTTAACTAGTTGTCTCTCATTTGAAACATTCCATCCAGCAGCGTAGGGCAGCCACCTGTTCTTGACATGCAGCCTCCTCATCTTTCCTTGTGAAGAGGTTTTGCTCCTTTTACAGACCAACAATGCTACTGTCTAGATAACAGGAAAAAAAATCCCACCAAGAAATCTATATGAAAATAAAAAATACTCCAGTGTCCTGTTATCCACAGAAGGGGCAGCTTTGCAGCATTCCATAATTCCTCTCCATACTGTTGGTTTGTTTATTTTTCTTGTTCAATTTCCCTGAGTAGCAACTTCATATTTGTGTGATTTTTGTCTCTTAGTCTGTTTCTGCAACTCCAAAGAGTTCCAAAGGTACTGCTGGCAGGTCTGGCTATGATGACAGTACTTTGCCTCTGGTGGATAAAAGTCAAGGTTAGTTCTGCTCTTTATCACTTTTTCTGTTTTACTTGTTTTCTGGATTTGCCATGTCTGTGTTATGGTGTGAGGGGGTAATGTTTTATTTGTGTGGTGATTTTTACGCCACAGTCCCAGAATGATCAATCCTATTAGCTGCATGTGGATAATATTCCTTCCCTTGTGAAATGTACACTACTGATGTTGTTTTCTCAACTTGTATGCAACATAATGAGCTAAATCTTCCTGGCAGAATTTAGGATAGACGTGAGCTGGAACTTAAGAGGAGAACATCCTTATCTGACAATGTTGTATATTGATAAATCTAGCCTTCAGCCAGGCGGTGGCCTTGGCCTTACCCCTGCTCAGTACTGGAGTCTTTTCCTTTCTAAACAAACATGCCTGCTTTGGCAGTGCTTCTTCCTCTGCTGTGCAGGTTTTTTCGTTGGGGATGGGTTTATCCAAACTCCAGCTAAACCTGTCTGTGCTTTTTCAGGAGGCCTGCCACAGCCATACCAGCACTGGTGTAGCTCCAGCTTTAATTACATGATGATTGCCTTGTCTCTGAATCTGATTCTAGTTTCTAACACTCAGACGTCAAAATTTCTTTTCAGAAATCTTTAGTCTCCTACGGCAGAGTTTGCCATGTTGCGCTTTACCTGGTTTTACTGTAGATTACTGCAAAAAAAGACAGCCCCACACTGCCCTGCCTGTTTCCACCTTCCAAGATCCCTGTCTTTGATCAAGTCTGGCAGGTTATGCAGACGGAGGATGACTTGGGTCAGTTTGCTGATCTGACAATAAGCTGCTTGTTTTCTTTGAGGGTTAGCTCTCTGTTGGCTCAGCAGGCTGCTAGATTGGGTTGTGTGCCATGCGAAGCTGCACCCTTACTTATTTTCTTTCTCTTCTATTCTGGAGACCAGAGAGAAGCTTGTTCGTAGCAGTAGGTAGTCCAAAGCAGAACTGCGGTTTCTGTTATCACTTGGAAAGAGGGAGTTCTATATTACAGTGCCAAAGCAGAAAATACAAGGATTACATGTGCTCTCTGGAGAGCTTAAATCAAACCTCCCTTTCTGAATGGATAACAGTTGAATAGTTTGGGGTTTTTTTACAATAGTCTCTGCATTCAGTGCTTTATGGACCTCTCTGGTGCTGTGACTAATTTAAAACTACCAGGTTTTGAGAAAAGCAAATGTAACTCAAGTTGTTTCAATGTTTCTGTTTTATAGATAACGAGAAGGCTGGGAGCCGTGATATGATACCTATGGATGAACTTGGCCCAGGTAAATTCGGTCATAGATCAAACTCTCTGTCTGTTTCAATAGAGCACACTGTCACTCACAGGAAAGTTCAACTATTTCTCTAGGAGATATTATTTCAGATGGATAAAGATGACATTTAAAAACAGAACATTACCTTACAAAAGATTGGTCATTGTCTTTTGGGTTTTTTTCCCGTCTTTTGTTCTTTTAAATATATGTAGAGTTTACACACCACTTTCTCCACTATAAGCATATATTGGAGATATACTGACCTAGCTTTCATTCCAGTTTCTGGCCCTCGAGGCAGCTGCATTCCCTGTCACAGATACTGAAGTCTGGGAATTCAGAAGGAAAAAAGGAGCTGAAAATTTACTTCAGTGTAATGCTTGTGTTTAAATCCGTTCTGCCTTCATTTTCTGTAGGTAAAACCAAAAATAAGTTAGTACGTATGATATTCCTGGCTCCACCTTTTGTTTACCTTATTCTAGCCGAGCCTGGCTTTTTCATACAGACTGAGAACAGCCATCTACTGTCAGTGAAGTGCTTTGAGATTGATAAGCTCTGTAGTTTAAGACTTGTAAAGGGGTTTTTTCTTTACTGAGGTAAATAAAGGTGCTGTGTGGTCTCTGGGGAATTTGCTTTACTTCTTCCAGTTGACGTTATTTCTATTTAAATACCTATAATTAATGCCTCCAATTCAAACTGTTTGAAATACTGCTATTTGTGATTGATTCAATTGATTGATTGAAAAAAAAAAAAAAATCAAGTCTAGAACCAAGCTGAAAGGCAAGCATGTTCAAAAATTAAAATAACAGGTATATATTACCTTTTGTATTCTTAGGAAAAATGAAATGCCACCTGCCATGAATCAACTGTCCATGTGTATTTTGTCTAAGGGAACACTGAAACATTTGTTGTCACAATGGAAGAAAATAACTTCAGAGAAGATTGCCTGGCAGGATAGCTGAGTGCTAGCAGGTGCTGCAGTATGGGCAGTGCTGATTGTTTATAGTCTCAGTATTAATTGTTGCCTTATGCTTTCAGGAGTTGCTGGTACAGCTCCGAGTACAAAGCGAAACGCAGATTAACAGCATATGTACAACATCAGGCAGATTTGTTGGGCCGTTCTGTTCTCCAATCTTTTCATCACTCTTAGAAGATGAAATCTGTCAAGTTTTCCTGACCCCAGTTCTTGAGTGCTTTTTAACTCCAATATGACTATCACTTCATGCTGTTTCAGAGGTCAACTGAGAAGGGACTAGTCTACTATCCTTAATTCCAAGGAACTGAAATAACAACTTAGTACTTCATCTCTTTTCTTCAGACTTTTGAAATGCTGTATGTTTTTTTGTCTTATGGGCATACTTAGATGAGAAGCTGCTCTAGACTATATTTTCTGATTTTAACTTCATTGTTGTATTCTGGAGGTTTTGTTCATTTTCCACTCTGGACTGAACTGGCAGATATAAGGAGCAGAACATCAGTGCGCAGTCCTCTGGGTTTGTACCTCCAGTAAGCAGTTTGGTTGTGTCCCCATGTACTCCGCACCAGTCTATGTTGAGCCTCCAGGAGAGACTGACCTCGCTTATGTTTGCAAAGAAAATGCATGACAGAGTACCAGAGAAAGTTGTTCGACATCCCAGCTTATCTTTTTATTTCTTTTTATTGCAGAAAGTTCTGTGCCCTGGTTTCAGTTGCGTGTTTTTCCCTTGTCTTCCTCTCTTTCTGACATCACGTGCCCTAAGATCTTTCTACTTTATATTCACTGTCTTTTAGAGGATTCTCATCTGCCTCCAGCTTTGTGTTGTCCATTTCATTTAATTCAGATGCTTCCAGGTTGCGTAGTTATCTTTCTGCTGTACTGCTTTGCTACGGAACTGTAATTGCCTCAAACACGATACGGTGTGTCAGTGCAGAATTCAGTGGATGTCCATGCCCCACACGTTACAGGTACTCATCCATTCAGCCGGGCCCCTTCCAGCCCAGAGCGTTCATCTGCTCCCTGCAGTGTACAAAACTGCTTATTCCAGAACATCACTGCCTGTCTGCCACTCGTCTATTGCCTCTTTTTACCAAGGTTCAGCTGTCTTGGTGCCTGGGCCTTTACTGTTAACCCAGGTTGACGACTCTTCAGGATTGCAAAATGATTGCTGTTGGTATCTCAGCGTGTTTGCTAATGCTGTGGGAGTCATCATTCTCTATAAAAGAAATTAATTCACTATCACTGTGGCTAGGGAGGCGGAAAGATTTGTTCCCCATTGGCCGGCAGTACTAGACCAGTCAGATTCCTGTTGTCTGGAGCAACGGGGAGGGGGGGTGGTCCTGGGGAGAGCATGGATGTCATGGGAGATGGAAGAAAACATGTATTGTGAGTTACTGTGGGATACACTACAGAGCCCAGTGCAGAGTTAGCTCAGGTCTGTCAGACCTTATCAGCTCCAGACAAGTGGCTCTGCACTGAGTAATCTAAAGATCATCAATGCTTATTGTCATGGTGCTGCCTGGGGGTGGCTGTGACGCTGAGCTGTCTGTAGAAGCAGCAGAACTGTGATCTCAAGGCTGTATGCCAATTCTGTGAGTTCTCTAGAACTATATCTGTGTCTCAATTATCTGACAACCAGGCAAGTGCATCTGGGAGCTGAGAATTGTTCAGACCAGAGACACATAGTTCAGATGCCCCTGTCCTACATGCCTATCTTCAGGCATAACTTTTCCCTTCTGCTCCTCCTCTGTTTTGATGGTCCGGAGGTTGATCTTTGTAAGTTGAGAGCTGTGATGGCATGGATAGACTGACACTCAGCAGGTTTTTTATAGAATCATAGAGTGGTTTGGGTTGGAAGAGACCTTAAAGATCTAGTTCCAACCTCCCTGCCATGGTCAGGAACACCTTCCGCTAGACCAGGTTGCTCAAAGCCTCATCCAGCCTGGCCTTGAACACTTCCAGGGATGGGGCATCCAACAGCTTCTCTGGGCAACATGTTCCAGTGCCTCACCACCCTCAGAGTGAAGAATTTCTTCCTCAGATCTCATCTAAATCTCCCCTCTTTCGGTTTAAAGCTATTACTCTTTGTCCTATCACTACATGCCCTTGTAAAAAGTCCCTCTCCAGCTTTCTTGTAGCCCCTTTAGGTACTGGCAAACTGCTATAAGATCACCCCGGACCCTTCTCATCTCCAGGCTGAACAACCTCAGCTCTCAGCCTGTCTTCATAGGAGAGGTGCTCCAGCCCTCAGATCATCTTTGTGGCCCTCCTCTGGACCCACTCCAGCAGCTCCTTGCCCTTCTTGTGTTGGAGACACCAGAGCTGAACGCAGCACTGCCGGGGAGGTCTCATGAGAGCAGAGGGGCAGAATCACCTCCCTCGACCTGCTGGCCACACTGCTTTTGATGTAGCCCGGGATACAGTTGGCTTTCTGGGCTGCCAGCGCGCATTGCCGGCTCATGTTGAGCTTCTCATCCACCAGCACTCCCAAGTCGTCCTCCTCAGGGCTGCTCTCTGCCTAACCTGTATTTGGTCATGTGATTTGCAATGGCATTAAAATGTTGCTCCACGGTGAATGGGAGACAGTGAAGCAATACAGAAGACAACAAGCAGAAAGTTGAGAGAGAGGAATAAACAAGCCAAGAATGGGACGTGCCTCTGTTGACCACTGTAACTTTTGTCTATACACTGGATTGTATGAACTCAGAATAATGCACTTATACCTTGTAGCAGTAAGATCTCTGTAAGTCTCCTTTATGCCACAGAAACAGAGTTAATTCTGATCACTTTTTACAATGAATCCAAAACATGGGAGAAGCAGTACTTTCTAATTTCTTTGGAGAGCTGTTGTCCTTGGGGCACTGAGATGCTACTTCTCTGATGTAGCCTCCTTCAAGATACTTCTTGTTTTATTAGGTCAAATCATGAACTTACTGTCTCTGCTGCTGCTTATCTTGACAGAGTCACAGCACAGTGTGTGGTTTTTAGAAGCACATAATCCATTAGTGCTGACGTGCACGGCACCGTTAGCATGCAGACCACACAACGGTGGGCTGACAGTATGAATTGCAAAATCTGTTGGAACTTAGATATGAAGAACAAAGTTCTTGACCGTTCTTTGTTGTTTGATAACTGCCACTGTGCAAAAGGTTGATCTTCCTGTTGCTGCTGTACTGGCTGAGCATGTTTTTTTTAATTCTGTAGTAGTAGTAAAGATCTGTTGTGCTTTTAATTTTTTGTGATTGCAGTCCTTACTTCTGACCTTCCTCCCTGGGAAGTATCACAGCTGCTGTACTCATTTAGTAGCTGTTGCTTTCTAGGGGTATGTTAAAGGTTTCCTTTGTATCTTCGCAATTAATTTAAAAAAATGTTTGTGGATCACCCATGATGATGGCACTACAAAAATGCGAAGTGATCTGTTAAATCATTGCGAGTATAACTAATATTAGCTTGTAAAAAGCTACCACTCAGTTGTTGTGAGTTTGATTTTTTTGGGTAGTCAACATACTTCCTAAATACGTACCTATGTGAACTCTTTACTCCTAAATAAATGATGAATCTTTAGATTGGGATATGACTTACTAGCAGTATTCATGCCTATCATTTGAAAGAGAATTATTGGTCATGCGTTCCTCCACAAATGCTGGCTAAGGAGCTGGATGCAGCTGGTAGGCTTTAGGGTTTTTCTTTTTTTGTTCAAAAGGAATAGCCAAGAATGTTAGGCATCTTCATTGTCAACAAATAATTTTAAATAAAGCTCTGTGTAGCAGTTATTTTCACGCTTTAAACCTATGTATTACATGTATAACTCCAAAATTCTATAGTTATTTTTGGGCAGTGTGGTTAAATAATCTGTTACTATCCATGATGTCATAAATATAGGCTAGTTCAGGTGCTTCTGCAGGTCTGTGATTTATAAGATGCATAGGAAAACTACAGATCTTTTAAAACTTAACCTGGCTGTGGCCAGCATAAACATCATTTAGGGCCCTGCTCTGTGACTGTTTGGTACAAGTCACTGTAGCTGCCTGTGCTTTTGTCATGTGGGCAAACTGCCTCTTTATGCCATGGGAACCCCACAAAAAAACATGACTGACTTTTTATTAATGACCTGTTGCAGGCAAGTAATAGACCAAGAGAGGAGCCTTTTGGTAGTTTATGTAAAACCTTTTTGTGGTGTTCTAAGAGCCCAGTTTGTCAGGACATGAAAACGTTAATGATCCCTCAATTACATAGAGGAAAACAAAAGCCTACAGGGAGCTATAAATTTGAGTGTCATTTACTCCAGATTACAATGCTGTCAAAGCAGAGCAGGAGAGGATCTATTTGTCACTGATAATGAGGGAAATCTGATGCATCAGGAAAATAAATTAAGATTTTCATTGACTGACAGTGATTCAAAGCAAAGGTTCTGAAATAATTAGAGCCATTTCTTTATAAAACCCTCTCTTGCTTTTCTTCCTTGTGTTTATCACGCTTTTATATTGTTTCTTAGTTGTCAGGAGAAAAAGCACCAACAGGTGCCACTTTGTAATGAAAGACAGTCCAAGAACAGCAGGGTTTGCGTCAAGACTTCTTCCAACTGGACAGGCCCTTTTTCTCAGTGCTCTGAAAGGGACTCTTCCAAATTATTGTCTTGTCCTGCTAGTAGTCATAGCGGGAACATGCTGCAGAGCATTCAGAGAATGAACACAGCCAATTAATGAGGCTGCTAAGCAAGGAACACAAGATTTGGGCTGAATTTGGAGCTCATTAGCCACAGGGCGCGAGATGACAACTTGCTGCTTTCCTTGGGCACACGAAAAACTGCAGCAGCCCGGGATGCAAACAGTGCTGCTTGCTAATGAGTGCCAGCATCTGGCAGTGATATAAAAAGAGAGCTTTTCTGTTTTGTTTTAAGCTGGTAAAAATGAAATTTCAGAGCTGGAGCACACATGAAAAGCAGGCTTACGGCTTCTTTGGGTTGTGATGGTTTATTTTCCTGTTTCTTTGCCGAAGAATTCCGCTAGCGTCAGCTCTGGTTTTGCTCTTATTTGTGCTTCATGCCTGACTGTGGTGTTATTTCTCCTCAGATGGGTACTCCACCATCGATCACCGGGAGAAGGAGCGCAAATACAAGACCAGCGATAACACAGGAGATGCCTCAGAGAAAGAACCTTTAAAAGTGAGCTTCCTCTTACTGCTGAATGCTAGTTAATGCCTTTAAAAGAAAAGCAGCCTGGTGTCCTCAACAAGAAATACAGAGTAGTTACTCAGCAGGGGCTTGTAAAGGGCTGCTTTTTTTTTTTTTAAGGTAAAGGCACCATTTCGTAACTTAGCTAACTAGAAATAAAAACAAAATGCTGCTTTCCAGTGCAGGAACTAAAGCAGGCAATCACTATATTCTTGTAAATGAATGAGGTTGTAAAAATAGAAAGTATTTCTTGTGTCACCCTCATCCAGGCAGCATTCCCTAGCCCTAAAGTGTGTAAGTGTGTTCAGACTTTGTTCTGAGAATAGTCACTTCAAACTGTCATACTGCTTTATTGTTTTCACCATGAGAAGTAGGTGTGAGCTGGTGTGTCTCTGTACAGCAGTGTGGTGAGCAGCGTAAGTTTCTGCAACACTCATTCACCATCCTGGTAGTGGACTATAGGCATGGGCCAAGGAAATGAAGAGGGAGAAACATGCGTAGTTGTGTGTGTGTCTTCTAAAAACAAATGTAGACAACTTTATAATTTAAAAAAAAAAAAAAAATCTTCACAAAGCTCTTTGTATTGTGGGTTGTGTGCAAATGCAGCTTAGTAGGCTCTATGTAATTTCTGTTGCATTGCTGTGCCTTTTAAAAAGTCGCTTAATGCCATGGCCATCAGTTCTCTCTGGCCTCAAAACAAGCTTGTGTTTTCCCCAGGGAGGTAATTTTGAGGAGAAAGAGGAGGATTCAGTGAAACAAAAGTCAGTGGTAGAAAACACTATTGTTAGTCTGCAGAAGGCTGTCCTTAATAACCTTCAGCACGTTACTGACAATATCAGAAAATCCAGGTGATTCATGTTCAGTGGAAACAATTAAACTTCAGTCAATTGAAAGGAAAACCCACTGTTATTGAAGAAGGGAAATAAAAATGTGATTTGAAGGAAAAATAGATGATGAGTTAGGAAGATGTCCTGCTGCATCAGTCTGCCTGTATTAACTTGCCTGGTCACGCATTTCCTTCTGTGTCCTGCCTTTCTGTGAAGGTGTGCCCTGGAGAATGGCTTCAGTCCAGCTGGACTTTTTTTAAGCACAGATCACTCTCTTCAATTTGCCAGTGCTTGAACTGCTTGAACCAGTGTCAACGAAACAAACTTTCTAGTTCCCCCGTCGCAGTTCTAATACATTTTGCAAGGATGCAGTGGGAATGGATGCAATAATGTGACATACGAATGTCGATCAACAGGAGCTTGACAGAAAATGTCTGAGGAAAATAGGATAAGGCAGGAAAATTAACAAATACTTGTTATTTTTACCACTCAAAATTCATAAAAGTGGTCCGATACAACCCTCAAAAATCACATCAAGCAGCCCGAACTCCAGTGTATATCTGAAATGAAGCACAACCCAGAGTTCAGTGAATAGCTGCTTTGCTTTCGTGAGAAAAAGAGAAAAAATATTTCACCTTAACAATGTGTCTCCATAGTCTGTGTTGCCTCTTGGTTTTAAAAGTAGCCTGAATTTCGCCCGTTGTACACCTCAAAGGTGGGCACCACCATGCCCTCAGCTGGGCAGAGCTGAGTAGCTGCTACTCATCCTTCTCCCTATGCTGTGAAACAGAAACATACTGTGGGATCTTGTGTCTTGTGAATCGTTTGGTAACTGTGGCTCTGAGGCTCACGAGTGGCCGAGAACTGAATAATGACGGCAGGAAAGTGCAGCCTTTTGGCTGTTGCGATGCTTTTGTCGGTATTGTGCCTTTGCTGATCTTGTTTCTTTCTCTACCACTAATTTTCCTTTGCGCTCCTTTAAGCTGACTTGTTTGGTGGTTTTGTTTGATTAATCCGCTCTGTTTTGCCTTTAACTCCGCACCCTGTGCTGCAGAATGACACAAATAGGAAAAACATTAACAGGAGTAACAGGGCTTCGGTGAATCTGGTGGATGCCCGTGACATTAAACCCCAGCCTGTTGACTCCTGGGTCTAATTTGCATGCATGGTAGGTCCTTTTAATGGTAATTGGTGCTTGTGATTAACTTGTCTCGTGCATGATCTGTGGAATCTCTTCAAGGCTAACTGGGTCCTTTCAGCCAAATGAAAATGCATTTGAAAAAAAAAAAGGGGTGTTCATATTATTATTATAAAGTGTATCTTTAATGAAATGCAATCAAATACCACTGTTTGATTAAAAAATAACCTGTCAAATAACCAGACAGAAAATTAATATCGTGAATGATTGGTTGTCAGCTGAAATGTGAAAGATCTCTGCTGTTCAGCCATGGGAATGAATTGGAATAGTGTGTTCCTGCTTCCAACCATTTTTCCCCCTCTATGCTCATTACAAGGATTAGCCTGAGACGTAAGGAAATGCATATCCTTGAGTATTTATGAATGTCCCCCGAGGGTCCCATGAATTACACAGCCCTTCCCACCTGCAGGAAAGCTGCTGGCCGTACAGAAGATACTTTGCAAGGAGAGGCAATTTGGGTTACACAATAAACACTGACTCACAGCTCCCACTTCTCAATTCCTTTTTTTTTTCCTTCCTGTTGCTACAGAAAGGGGCCTTTTTGTCACTTTCTAGTTCTCTGCCTTCACCACGTGCCAAGTTGCTCAGTAATGTCACTGGCCTTTCTTTGCTCCTGCCACTGCTAATCTGTCTCCCGCTGTTTTGCTGGACAGCCCTCTACCACTCCATCAGATGGGACGCTACATTTGGAACAGCAGGTTTTGTGCCCCTGGCTATGACTAAAGGAAAATCTTGGTGACTGTCATGAAGGCACTGGGCAACTTTCCCATCAGAGTGGACAATCGGCCTTTAAAGGCCCAAATTCCAAAACATGGAGCGTCATGCACCCCCATAATTCTTCATGGAAACCACTTGCATTAGTGGGAGAGAAAACTCCTGTATGTTTTTGGTTGGTGGTGGTGGATTATTTTTTTCCCTCCCTCCGTCTTCTTTTAAGAGTCTAGTATAAGTGCTGTTTATAGATTGTTTCTGTTCCTGGGTTGGAAGCAGTTGCCCAGAGCAGACTTTCAACTCTGCCAGGCAGCTTTAGGTAGGCACGGAGCAGGCCCTGGCACGGTTGGCTTCCCACAGCTGGTCAGCACTGCATGGTCAGTCTTGGCTCAGCCAAAGGGCAGAGATAAATGTATGTGTGTTGTGCCTGTACGCTTCACTTCTGCACTCTTCCTTTGAGCAGTGGAGTCTTACAGGAGGGGTACAGACTTTGAAAAATTAACTCTGTGCTTGTTTTCTCCCACTCATACCCTTCAAGGAACCCATATATTGGGGATAGGTTGGCATTTCCAGTCACTCACTGTCCTACTACTGGGTCATGGAGATCACCAGGGTCATGTTACTTGCTGGTATTAATCAATTTTGACTTTATTTTGCAGGGCTAGAGTCCAACCACATTTTTTTTAATTGAGGGGGAGAAACAAACATTGAATTGACACAGAGGATCTCATCAGTCACCACTGCCATTCAGATTTGGAGGGCACTGCATCACTGGCCAGGCCGCAGATTCCAGGAGGATGTGGGGAGAAGACACAACTGACTGCCCTTGCAACCCCGGAGCACCATGCCTTACAGCGAGACAATTTGCTTTTTAACTCAGTTACATTCCCACCAGAAATAGCTACCGCCTCCCCCTCCCTCCCACTCCTGCAAGAAGAAAGCAAGCAAGAAAAGAGAATCCAAGCTTCCATCTAGCTGGCTGCATTCTTATGTTACTCTTACGTGTGGATGGTGCCAAGTATTAGAAGTGAAGGTCACGTGGCAGGAAAGAAGACAGCTTCACAAGTGAAAGAGAAACTGCAGAATATTTGAGATAATATCGTAGGTGTAGCCACGAAGATAATAGCACTTTTCTGGTTTGGGGCACATTGTTTTGTTTTGTTTCGGGGGATTCCTTTTGAACTGTGAATCTAGCATTTTTAAAGGCTTTTTGAAAAATGTTTAGGTTTTCTTTATTATTTCCAGAGAAAGTGCAGGAATGTTGAGTGGGTTTATTGGATTTCAATGAAGGGAGAAAATGCAGAATAAAAACTATTAAACGCTGGTCAAATGAACTGGAGAGTGGATGACAGAATTGATGCAAGCTGTATAATCTGCTTTTAGAGTAAGCTATATCAATCACAGTGCTATATTATCATTATAATCTGGTGTACAATACTTCTGCCTTTTGATTTCTGTAACGGCTCTGTTTTTATTTCCACTACTGAAGAGCAGTTTATTGAAGGTTTCAGTGTCCCTGGTTCAGAAATCTATGCTGAGAAATGGAGTTGGCTGGCTTTTTATTTTCTTGTTCTCAAAAGTTGCAATAAGGAGCTTTTACATTTTAAATGTACCAGTGTTGCATTGATGATGATGATTAACAATTTCTTTTCCCATAGTTGTTAACACATTGGAAGAAAATAGGAGCTTTTTTGTAGGATGTCTTGTTTTGAACATGCTATAAATTTTAGATGGGTCTGTCACTTATATTTGATGGTAAAAATTATCCAAACATTGGATCCATGTTTGCTTTGGGCTACAGATCCTGATGAAAAATGCCACAAAGGGAACTGGTTTGGCATTTTTTAAATCATCATCATGATTTCTGTGTTCCTTGGGTTTTTGTTTTGAAATTACGTATTTCGTTTGGTGTGAGAATCACCCACGTGCAACGGTTCTCCTCTAAGATGCCAAGGCCTACTTTGTGTAAGGGGGAATTTTTACTTCACGAGAACGTACTCTGCATACATGGTTTCTGGTAATGCCGTGAACTAAATGACTTCAGATCACTGATTTTCTCCAGGCATTGGTCAAGGGCAGCAGATGAGAATAGGAAGCAAATGTCTGGTAGCATCAGAGGACTTTTGCTGATTTTATTTGGTTGCCACTGTTCTTTGATTGCCACATTTAGTTTTAAACAAGCTCCTAAAAACGGTGTGACTGGAAAGCACATTTTTGAATCTAGCAAACATCATTTGCGGTTTTCAGTGCCTGCCGTTTCCTTTGTAATTAAAAAGGGGAAATACCCAACAACCTCACCTCCCCCAAAATATTACTGTAATAGTAAACATTTTGTAAAAAAAAATATAAAAACTTTAAAAAAAGGCAAGTACCAAGAGCTTTGTATCTTCTTGAGTATATTAAAAATTTGACATGAATACATATATATAAATAAATAAAAAAATCTATATATCTATATATATATATTGTTGTGCAGAGGATAGGTTAACAAAACCATGTAAAGTAGTTTGCAGGAGAGGGAAGCATTTGTTGATTCAGGGAAAAAGACTGATGCCAGAAGCTGTCAGTGATTTGGATGATACGTGTGCTCCTTCGCACCCTCCCTTTTTCACGCTCATCTTCCACATACGTTGCAGTGGTCACTTCTGGATCCTGGGGAAGGTGAAATTTCTTGGAGCAAATTAAGATAGCAAAGGTTTGTTTTTTCACCCACATGGGAGTCCTATTGGGCCAAAGATGCTCAGCGGATCAAGGGAAGCAGAGAGATACATCTGTGATTATCTGCATTTGTGTCGGGGCAGTGTCTCTCTATGTGTAGACATAAAGTGTGGCAATGAAACCAGATACATAGTCTGACTGTATATTATATCAATGGTGCTCTTTTCATACTTGTTCTGCCAATACGCGGAGACCCTTTTAACCAAGCTACACAGAAGAGTTTTATATCGCTTTTGGTTATGTACTTGGTGTATTCTTTTTTGTATATGAAAGGATTTTTTTAAAAACGTTCAGTAATTAGCAATGAAACCTGCTTTGTAGCTGATTAGAACAGTGTAAGAGAAGGGCCGTGCTGTCAGTCTGTCCCTGATCTACTTCAAACCACATATTTACCAAAGGAGTCTGAGCAAAAGTTCACTTAAAATAAAGACCTGACTGTTGAAAGGAGTCTCTGCTAAGACTTTGTGATTTAGTCGTTGTACAGATATTTCAAAGCCAGCAAGAGGTTAACAGAGAAAACTGCAGGAAGGAGGAAGTGAAGCGACTAGGGACAAATTACGTCCGTGACATCCTATCACATGCATCTCATGGCGCTCGGGGCGTTACTGGGTCACTCAACATCTGGATTGGAATCTACTTTGGTCTCTGTCATTAACGGGCTAAAAACACCAAGCAGTGTTTGAGAAGCAAATTCAGACCCTATCTCATTTTCCCCTAAAAATCCTTTTTGTATTTACATCGCGTCCTGTGATGAGCAAACGTCCCTGTCAGGTGAGATGGCATTGGCTGCCCGGAGTCATTGTAGCAAATTGTTCTTTGTTTTCCTGGGGGTAAGTGTTCATGGCAGCCAGTGTAGTTGTGAGCTGACAACGTGGTTTATTGCTGCAGAAAAGCAAAGGATGGTATATCAAGAAGCCACATACCAAGTCCATGAGCCAAGACTTCCCCTGGGAATCATACGTCTTACCCCTGCCCTTCCCATGCCTTATGATAATGACGAATTCCCAAGTATGTAGCAATAACCCATCATCATTTACATTACTGTGGTTTTTTTCTTCTCACCAAACTGTTGTTTGGATATTGAGGAAGGAAAATAGATTGGGGGGTGACTTGTGTGACTATCACCTCGTATTATCAGCCCACCAGCTGAAATCCAAAGCAAGATACTTTGAACCAGGTCTGGTGATTTAGTGTCCTTGTTATCTATGGCCACAGGCTCACTGGTGGGATGTGTGCGCACACCCGCCCTTACTTCTTCCCTTGTTGGCACAAGTGTGACTGGCAGTTTGAGCTGTTCTGGGATGTAGGTGGATGAACCAGTAATTGTATTTTGGCAGCAGGGACTGTATGTAAAGAAGGGAAAGCGGCAGTGTGTGTGACTAAAGCTGCAGTAGGATCTGGAGTCTCCTGCTAAAAGGCAGGCAGTGTGTTTTAGGGCTCGGGTATGTGACCTCCTCTTTTCCTGTTGGCTCCACTGTGAAAACTGGAGGGAATTTGCCTGCAAAGGGCTGGGGTAGAAAAGATTTCTACCTGCAGAAATTCTAGTGGGAGGGATGGTTGTGGAAGGAAGTGATGGCGTTGCAAGACTCCTGCTAAAGAGGAGGAGGAAATTTGATGGCCCAGTGAGGGCTGAGATAACATAGAGGAGAGGGAGACTTTCTGATGGCACATAATTACTGCAGAACTTTCTTCCCAGGGAGGTGGCTTGCACTCCTCCCAGGCACCTTCACCTAAGCTGTGGAGGTTTTTAAAAAAAAAAAAACAACAAACAAAACCACATCAAAAACAAGCATTGTGTGTCAAGACTCCTCCCTGGGAGAAGCATCAAGCTTGGTTGTTGAATGTGTGAGCCTTCCCAGGTTGGTCGGTCTGTCTGCAGCATTCAAGGAGGAGAGTGGAAAGGCAAGGCTTTAGGACGTTTTGTTTCTGTCAGGAGTTCAGTAGCAATTTGGCCATAAGTGTAACTTGACAACTCAAGATGTATTGCCAGCTTGAAATGCTCCCCAGAGAACAGCTTGGGCAGCCATAGATCCTGATCTTCAGTGTCTTCTGGGCAAAAGACATGCCTGTCCTAGTTCTACTCTTGTGCACTCAGACATGCCGATTCTGAACGCGTCTGTATCAGGAACAAAAATCTTGTCTCTGTTGCCAAGACATCACAAAAGGGATTGTCTTAGGGAGGAGGAACTGACTTGCTGTAAGTGACGCAAGGAAAGCAGGAGGTGGCATGTTTGTTCCAGCAGATTAGTTCTTGCCAGCTCTGAGGAGCAGTTTCCAGTCATGCCTTCTAGCATGCGAGGCTTACGCCAGGCAGAGCAGTTTTCGCTCCTAGAGCAGTTCTGTGAGACTGAAGGTGGTGAGTTCCCTTCTGTTACCTGCCTTAAAGGTGAGCGATCGGCTCAGCTCCCCGTGAGAGAGGCACGTGGTAAACCCTTCGAGTACGCAGCGCCTCAGGAGCCAAACGGGCACAAGTCGGGTGGTTACAGCCTCTCCTGCTTGTCCGACTGCCCACTCGGTGAAAACTACAGTGTGCCAATAACTTCAGTCAGGATTTTTGTGCTGCTGGGGCACAGTCGTGCTCTCTCAGTTTTTGAAGGTGTTTATATAGGCATAGTTTCTTGCAAAAATGTCTTTGTTTTGATGCCCCTGAAATCTGGTGTTTACTTATCTTTGACAGAAATTCTCTGATTTATTGGTACAGTAACTAATCTAGTGCATTTAATGGGAAGGTATTATGAACCTTTTTTGTCTGTCTTAAGTTTTACATCAGGGTAGGATGTTCTGAGGTCCAAAGTGAGGAGGAGGAAGATAGCGGAGATACCACAAGGCCTGCCAATCTGGTTCTTACTGTTCAGAAAAACAAAATAACTAGACTAAGAAGCTTACTGGTAATTAGTAGCTAATGTGTTTGTAACTATCATGTGCCTTAAAATTTTCATGGTAGGAGAATAAAAAAAAATCAACAATGTGTTTTCTGTAATACTGCTCAACATTCTCTCTGTAGTTTAGACTGGTGGGATTTTGCATTGTATTTACACTGTACTATAAACTGAAACACTTAGAATGGTTTGATTTTACAAGTATGGAGAGGGAAAAAAAAAAAAGGTGGATTATGCTTTTCAGAGAACAAATGTTACCGTGACAGAATGTATTATTATTATAGGATCTTTCCATAATGCAGACAAGTAGAATGCTTGTTAGAAACCAGGTATGTAGGATAACAATTTGGTGTGTTTTCAATAAACCATGCCTGGAAAGAATACATGTGCAATTGGTTATCTTTTTGTTACATCGGGTATCTCAAGTACTCTTTGGCTTGGCATCAGCAGTGTTCTGTGGCAGGGGATTACTCAACCCTAGCTCAGGTCAGCACTCTGTTATTAGTAAAAGGTCAGTGGTGATGAGGGCAATTGGAATATCGTTCAAACCAGTATAGCTGAAAACTTTGGATTCATTGCCGTATGCTGGAGTTGTAGCACGAAGTCCTGTAAGGTACCAGGACAGTAGATGATCGGTGTTTTTCCTTTTCAATATCTTTCCCACAGAAATATGTTTGTACATCTGCATCGCTGTTCGAAGGCCTGCACATTTGAGACCACAAGCTAAAGTTGCTGATGGCTTTTCCATTTGGGAAGTTATTAACTCTTCCCAATTTAGTTATAAAATCCATGTAACTTGACAAAGATTTCTCTTTTCTGAAATATGTGCAGGTATTCTCATAAAAATAGGTGTGTAAGAATAGCAGAAAATCTTTGTTTGTCATAGCGATATATGAGGTTTGGTTGAGATGAGAAATTGCGATTTTGGGGATGTGCCAAATAATTTACATCTGTTACTGGATGGCAGGGAAAAATCCCAATACTGAAAAGTCAAACATGTATTTCAAGTAACAGCCAGTTACCAACAGATCTTAAGTCTCTTGAAGACTGCCCCTCCCTGGCATGTTCATCTGTGTTGATAAGATCAGTAGAGGGACTGATGCACCTAAACACATCGTACTTACACCAGACCTTCATGAAGCATGACGAAACCTCCGTAAATTTTGATATGAGTGGTCTCCAAGGTTTTACAGATAGAACGGAGGTCAGGTGTTCTGTGAGTGAAACGTTGATGAATCATCACCAGTAACAGAGTTTGCCATATGTTAATGCCTGATTGTACCATTCACAGCACTACAGGGTTGCATTTACTTTGGAATGTTTGTGAACAGCACTTGGAAGGTCATCTTCAGCTTGACTTCCCTCCTTATTCAGATGTCCTGAATGCATCCCCAGGAGTTTTGTATAATCATCTCCAGATTCTGTTCTTGCAGCTGGAGGACCTAGTTTCACAAGTGCTGTGGTAAGATGTGGGCTCCTGTGCTTGGCATCCTGCTCCCAGGTGTCATCGGTGTTCTGCTGCAACGAGGAATCTGATTTTTATTTTGTGGATGCACTAATATGGCAATGAATAGCAGATGCTGTAGGTAAGGTACTGAGCTGAAACAAATACATTGTTTCTACAACCGACCTTTTGTAGCCGTCAAAGTGATTTCATTTCCAGCTTAGGACAGGTTGGGCAAATGGAAGCAGTGAGTCCTGGAGGTGGAAGGTTAACCTGGTAACAAGGGGCAAG